ATTCTAGTGGGTGTTGCATTTATTCAGTTTAACTTTTCTGGGCTTTATATTGAAAGTTCTCTGGATTTCACTCGATATATTTACATTAGAAATGTATATGTTTCATTATTCAAAATGCATTAATTGAATTGTTATTTTACATATATATTTGTACCAGTTACTGATCAGCAAATTTTGGACATGTACAAGTATTTCTTGATCAGTTTGAAATGCCCATAACACTGATCAGAAAATAAAACTATACAAGCAGAGGTGGTTAAACCTTTAAGCAAAATAAGCGCATGATTATTTTGCATCACAGAAGTGACATTAATAATTCAAGTAAAGGAGCCGTTGCAAAATATTGCATTGTCAGTTTTAACATGGAATTGTGCAGTTAAACCAAGAATGAGAGTATGAAAAAAATAGGCATAAATGTATGTGCAAGCATCAAAGTCTTTTAAGTGCTCAGGGCCTCTATTTTTTTTTTTTTTTTTTTAAAGGTTTTAATCCAGTCCTGCATATAAGTCTTGCCTGCACTGGAAATCTTCAGAATGGCTGTTTGTGACTACTGTTTGAATAATAACAGTACAGTCAAAAGTCTTTAATCCGGACCTCAAAGCTACAAAATTTCTGCGCATGCGTCAACGCATAATGCGCATATGCGTTAAAGCATGCGCATAATACGTTGACGCATGCGCGTTTAATGTATAACGGAGTATAAGCTAAGCTAAAATTATCTATTTCAGTTAATGTTGCAGATTGCGTTCTTCCTTAATCTTCGAATTGGATTCAGCTTATTATTTTGCAGACTATTAGAGCAATTTTATAAAAGTAAGCTTGAACTTTCGATTATGTCAAATAGAACTTCCGATGCTGGATACTGCCAAAGGATCTACAAAGTGAAAGCATGTTTCGATGTCCATCAAACAAAAAGTGGAATTGCTGCAAAAAATGGATAAACGCATATCCTTTGATTCTCTAACCATTCCAAAATCTGTTTATCAATTTCACACTGCTCTGCGGGGGGGAGGGGCACGGCGGCGCAATGAACTGGAAGTTGATCTTGTCAGCACTATTCTTATCTTCAGGGCAGATGTTTTTATTTTATTCGGCTTATAGTTCCTTACTAAATGTAGTATTTCATCTCGATGTACTCTGTCTTTGATATGATTTAAAAAAATTCCTCTTCATTATAAATATCACGAAACACATCAAATAGTTTTCTGGTTGCAATTTTCTAATTTCGACTATGCGTAATGTATGCTTTACGCATGCGCATTGAAAGAAATGTTTAATAAAGTAAACAAATAAATATTAAGCTTTTTTTTTTTTGGTAAATTTTGATACCATTTAGATCATAATTGCTCTTTATTTCATAAATTATGGTTTCATATTTTTAATATAATAATTTCTGCATGCCATCTTACCAGATTTAAACTGATGATCTATAATCCGGAAAAACCGATAATCCGGAATCACCGAAGTCCAGACGAGTCCAGATTAAAGACTTTTGACTGTATTAGGTAGTGAATCCTAGTTTGGCGATAAAGTCTTTCTCATGTAGAGTTAGTAATGGAAAAATACTAAGTTTTTAGTATGTATTTGAAGAAGTGTTAATTTTTTAAGCATTGAAAATAGTTTTTCGTCATAAAATTAAATTCCTGTTTAGTATTTTGTGTATAATTTTAAAGTTTTTGGTTTCATTAACTAATTTTCTTCTCTTTGTAGGTGCCAATATCTGTAGGCGTTTATCTTAATTCTGCTTATGATATCAAATTTAATGCACTCGGTACAGTATTTGCTATTATTGGTGTTATAGTAACATCATTCTATCAGGTGGTATGTATTAATTAATGTAAACTAATTAATTATAGTTCACTTTTACTTGCATTTTTAGGCTACATATTAGTTAAATATAAATTTTGCTACATTTAAATGTAGCCCAATTTAATTTTGTCTTCGTAAGTTCGGTCCAACTTACGAATCCCAGCGAACGGGCTGTCTCCATAGAAGTTTTCATTATTTTTGGTATGTGTAACATGTATACAATATATTGTAAATGCATACGCAAATAAAGCGGGCAGAGCCCGCGAAAAACCGCTGAACACTGTTAGTTCAGTCCAACTTTCGAATCCCGACAAACGGGCTGGCTCCATAGAAGTTTTCGTGATTTTCCGTATGTGTAACGTGTATGCATACGTAAATAAAGCAGGTGCAGCCCACGCAAAACTGTTAAACACTAGTAGTTCGGACCAACTTTTGAATTCCGGCGAGCAGGCTGGCTGCATGTCTGTTTTCGTGATTTTACACATGTGTATTGTGTATGCAGTACCTGCTGGCAGTATATTGTGGATGCAAGCGGGCGGAGCTCGCGCAAAACCACTGAACACTGGTAGTTCGGTCCAACTTACGAGTCTCGGCGAGCAGGCTGGCTATACGGATGTTTTCATGATTTTACGCATGCGTATCATATATGGAGTATCTTCTGGATGAGTACACGAATAAAGCGGGTGGAACCCGCGCAAAACTGCTGAAAACTGATAATTCGGTCCAACTTCCGAATCCCGGGGAACGGGCTGGCTGAATGGGTGTTTTCGTGATTTTCCACATGTGTAAGGTGTATGCAGTACCTTATGGATGCATACAGGAATAAACCAGTTAAAATCGCCGGAAACTGGTAGTTTGGTCCAACTTTCGAATGTAGGCGAAATTTAACATGGGAACTCTTATACACACGAACAATTAAAAGCTGGTGGGCTTGCCCGCTAGTTGATCTTAATTTTTGTAATCCTTAACCGAATAAAATTGAATTACCTTAAAATTTTTTTAAATGTAATTAACGAAAACGTTTCATTTAAATTAAACTGTTCTGAGCTAACTCTTCTGTGAAAAGTATAGCATTTATTTAAGTTCAGAATTCAATGTTGTTTAAAAATGCATTCTTTTCACATACTTAGGACTCTGAAATATTGTAGAAAGAGAAAATATATGCATTTATATGTATATATATGATGTAATTACAAAAGGTTTACATCTGATCATGTCAAAACCCATTGATCTTAATGGTAATTCACTGAATGTTTGATTTCCGCGAAGGGAGCGTCAGTGCTTGAAAGAAGTATATGGGGAAATCCAGTTAGGGCCTCTCCTCTTACTTCCTACCTTCATGGGTAAAACCCTCTGTGAAGAACATAGTTTACGTTATTTTTTTCATCTTGTGAATAAGTCTTCTTCAGCTTCCACAGTTCCATCCATTGACTTTTAACATTAAGGACAAAATAACAAAGAATTAGTACATACTTCTCTTATGTACTTATTCCAATCAAACATTGCATTGTGATTCATTTGAAGAAAGTCTTTAATCCGGACTCATCGGTACTTCGGCGATTCCGGATTATCGGTTTTTCCGGATTATAGATCATCAGTTAAATTTGGTAAGATGGCATGCAGAAATTATAAAATTAAAAATATGAAACCGTAATTTAAGAAATAAGAGAACAATTATGATCTAAATGGTATCAAAATTTACCAAAAAAAAAAAAAGGTTAATATTTATTTGTTTACTTTATTAAACATTTCTTTCAATGCACGCATGCGTAAAGCATACATTACGCATAGTCGAAATTAGAAAATTGCAACCAGAAAACTATTTGATGTGTGTGTTCGTGATATTTATAATGAAGAGGAATTTTTTAAATCATATCAAAGACAGAGTACATCGAGATGAAATACTACATTTAGTAATGAACTATAAGCCGAAATAAATAAAAACATCTGCCCGAAGATAAGAATAGTGCTGACAGATCAACTTCCAGTTCATTGCGCACCGCGACGTTCCCCCCCCCCCCCCCCGCAGAGCAGCGTGAAATTGATAAGCAGATTTTGGAATGGTTAGAGAAACAAAGGATATGCGTTTATCCATTTTTTGCAGCAATTCCACTTTTTGTTTGATGGACATCGAAACATGCTTTCACTTTGTAGATCCTTTGGCAGTATCCAGCATCGGAAGTTCTATTTGACATAATCGAAAGTTCAAGCTTACTTTTATAAAATTGCTCTAATAGTCTACAAAAAATAATAAGCTGAATCCAATTCGAAGATTAAGGAAAATAATGCAATCTGCAACATTATCTGAAATGGACAATTATATACTTTTAGCTTAACTTATACCGTCCGTTATACGTTAAACGCACATACGTAAATGTACTATGCGCATGCATAAAGTATTATGCGCATGCGTAAGCACGTCGCAGAAAGTTTGTAGCTTTGAGGTCCGGATTATGGACATCCGGATTAAAGACTTTTGACTGTATTTGTTTTCTTTCTCTTCTGAATTTTGCTGTGCAGCACTCAGGATTATTTGCTAACTTACTAGCATTTCAGTGAATTTGATAGCTTCTGCCATTTGCTTTTGATGGAAGTACTTACTTGCTCTTCATTTACTAGCGACTTTTTTCGGGGATGGGCAAAAAATTAGGTGGAAATTAAATAAGTAAAACCTAATAATCATTGAACAACTTAAAGATTGAAATTGTTGTGGCTATCTTCTTTCACAGCCACAGAGCGCTGTGTTTCCAGCAATATAGTAATGAAATTTCTTTAGGACAGTCTTAGCTTCCTTTTGAAAATCATTCATATTAAGTTCAATATTTTTTAAACTGCATTAACAGTTCATTGTTGTTATCTTTTGCATGACTGCTGATAGAACAGAAGCATCAAGTTATATTCCACATAATTATTTAAAGCAATTGCCATTTTTTGTCAATGCTTTCATGAACAAATTCATGATACCCACTTTATGTGAAACAGTGATAAAAGTGTTTCTGATAATAAGCATAATATTTTTGATGCCAAGTTCCATATTTATTTATTTATTTATTTATTTATTTTAGGGTAGTGTTTTTGCTATGCACATACGTAAATCATGAAAACTGTCTGTGTATAATATATTAAGGTCTGCAAAAATCATTCATTCATGGTGATTTGATTTTATATGCTTGAAAATTGATTTCAAACTTTTCTAATTTTCTTAGTGATTTGAAAAATGACCTGCCAGTTCAAAGGCATTCTCCTAATATGTGAACAGTTATCTTTATTATTTAAAATTATCTTTCAGTCAATGAAATGTTTAAAAATTTATAGTTTATCTATGCACTTTCTCTGTTAAAATTATGTTATTTCAAATTGGATATTGTAATTACAAGAAGAAAATATGAATATACCTAGTATGTTATAACAAATCGTGTGTTATTAACTGTATGAGAATTTTTGCTAATTCATTTCAGTAACATTTACAGATTTCAGTCAAAAAGACTCAGAACAGAAAGTTTCAAATGGTTATTGCAAGCAACTTAATTGGTATATATTTGCCTGTAATATATCAGATTAAACTATAATTATCCAAGTCTCTTGTTACATGTTAGAGACGCCCTTGAAATCTTTTTATCATTCAATACACATCTAATTTACAATCTCTTTCGATCCACATGAGTGAAGCATATTGGATGTGATTGAGACAATAATATTGATAATGCTGATTTTGAGTTCGTCGTGGTTGGTGATGATGAAAGTATAAAAACATCGTTAACATACCCCTGCAACCCCTTAAAAACATTTGTGATGCTGTAACAAATCTGAAGTCCAAACGAGCAATTTTTTCTGATTTGGACTAGAGTTGGGTGTGTCTTGTGACTAAGGAATCTAGCAGAGAGCATCTGCAAAAATTTTGGGTAGTCCAAGTTTTATTTAATTTATCACAGGTAAGTATAAGTTGATAACATTGTTTGCTGCGATTATTTATAATGGTATATTATTTCACATATTGGATATAACTCATATATGTAATTTTTTCAGTGGGTTGGAGAGAAACAGAAGGAATTTCAAGTTAATTCTATGCAACTTCTTTATTATCAAGCTCCTCTCTCTGCTATGCTTTTATTTCTGTGCCTTCCCCTTATTGAACCTCCCTGGAAATCAGATGGTTTATTTCACAAAGAATGGTCATTGGTAGATTTGGTAAGTTTTTTTAATATATATAAATAGAAATTTTCTTTAGTATAGCTTCTCTTTTCTATTTTAAACTTCTTTTTGCATTTGCAGAAAGCAGATTCATGGCTCTTTTTTTTTTTTTTTTTTTTCCCTCCAGTTATATAGATTCTTAACCTTATTTATAACCAGTCATACTTATCTTCGAAAATCACAGTATAAAACTCATTTCATGATTCATATTTAAGGGATCACTAAATTTTTGCTAAAGTTCTTTAAAAAATCTGTTATTGTAAATCTAATCTAAAATATTATCAATATTAATTTGTAATCATAAAATAGTTTGTACGTATGCATGTATTTCTATACGTCATGTTCTATATGTATGTTCTATATGTCAGGTATGGTCAAACCACAATGGTCAAACTGCAATTTGCAAACCACATGCAGCTCGCAAACCACATGCGGATCTTAGGCCCCTTAATTGTGGTTCGCGAATCACTTGAAGCTCTTTTATCCCTTAAGTGTGACTCGCATGCAACAAATAATCATTTCATTTTTTAAATTAGTTTATGTGTGTAATAATTTATGTGTCCATTTCAAATTGTCCACCATGCACTGTTTATCAGAAGGGCAAATAAAATAATAAGTAATTCGATTTGTGCAAATTCTCATGATCATACTAATTTTGATCAGGTAATGTATGTCCATAATAACAGCATAAAAGACAAATGCAAAGATTATTTAGAAAATAATGCAGTGCATTTTTTTTTTCCTCAGATGTTGTTTTACCCTGAAGTACCATTCATTGCTGCATTAAAAACGTTATGAATTATTTCTGTAACTAAAAAAACTTGTGTTTTCTTGACGATATTTATAATTTTATTAAGAATTATCTCTGAGTAATTTTTTAGAAATTTTTTATGGAATAATAATCATGTACTATTTCAGGCATTAATCTTACTATCTGGGATTATAGCATTTTCTGTCAATTTGTCAATATACTGGATTATTGGTAATACATCTGCTGTAACGTATCCTTTTTACTAGTTAGTTTGGATTATTTAAGTGTCCATTTCATATATTTTATTGGTATTTAACATACTTTCCTGTCAACCATAAAAGTTGGTGGGAGATGACAAAATGTTGCCAGTCATTCCAGCGGAAGTTTGAAGAAAGAAATGTATATTTATTTAGTCAGATAATCAGCAGATACAAGTTAAAGATATAACAAATGAAAACACTTTAAACAAATACAACCTTAAACTTCATTCATTTGGTTGCCACAGTTTTTCCTATTGTACCATCATTATCCAATTTAAAATAAAATCCCATAGCTTTTATTTATTTATTTTTTAAGCTAGGTTCCTTTAACTTTGAAAATATCCCTCTACATGCCGTTTTGTGGAAAGCATAGCCCAAATTTTAATAATTTTTTTAAAAGCAGGGGGGAAAACAGAAAAACAACAGTTAACTTATATCTTTGCTTATAAAAATTCAAGTGGCTTTTTGGGATTCACCAGGGTTACATAAACACAAAATAAGACATTTATAAGTGTCTTGTGATATTATGCTTATACATTATTTGTGTTAACCATCTGACTGCTCAATTTGTGGACTGAAATCATTTCAAAAATTGTGTATCCCTCCCATATTTTAAATCTATCATGAGAAACTAAACCATCAAACCAATTTCAGATGTCATAACAAAAAAAAAAAAAAAAAAACAATTGAATTACAGTTAATTTCTGTTTATTACATAATATAGAAATGTAAAATGTATAAAACTTAAGAAAGTATAATGCACTGAGGAAAAAATATCTTAGAAATGTAGTTTAGTATGATAGAGTTTGAAACAGGGTTCAAGGCAAAGTCCAACTTCACAGTCTTTGCACCAAATTTGTGTTTCTGTGCGTTTTTTTTTTTTTTTTTTTTCCCCATTTGCATCTTTTTTTCATCAATTGCTGAGCGTTTTCTAGCAGCCATTTCTGATTAGAAAAAGGTAGCCAACCTAGTGAAGTTAGAGAGGCAAATACCAAGTACATCTGTTATTTCATCTATCATTGGTACCTGTTTCATCTTCACAGTCACTGTTACTCTAATCCGTAAATAGATAATCATCTTCTATTCTATCTAGATTGTTAGATATACTGCATTTTGTAAATGACTTCACCTGTTTCAAACTCTATCATTGAATTATGTCGGGTTTAATTTCATTCTACTCTTTTATTATCCACTCATACACTATTTCTAAACTGTCATGATGCATTTGGCTTTCTTTTGTAAATATTATTTCACCTAACATCCACGTATTCACAGCTGTAGCTAGGGTTTTTAGCACCTGGGGACAACTGAAGATGTTGCACCCCCCTCTTGTTTAGCAAGAGTGAAAAACATTCCATTCTAAAAATTCTTAACATTAATTTAGGCAGCAACTAGAAGCTGCACCAGGAAACAAATGTCCCCCTTACCCGCTCTACACATCTACACATATTCTACTGTCATTTTTTATTTTCTTTGAACGGTTTATTGATACACACATCTAAAATCTGAACTAATGGCATTAATTGGCCTGGAATAACAGCCATGTCTGTATTACACTCTTTCAATAATTTCTTCCTATTATCTGCTAGATGAGATCCGAACATGTCCCATACTAAAAGACCTTCTGGATTCTTTAAGGCAAAAAGACGCTTTTGCCAAATATTTCTTATTCACAATTTCACACTGTTTTCGTCCATCCATGCTTTCTCCTGAACATGAATGAAAACACCATCTGGGAAATTATACTTTGGCATCATATTTCTTTTAAAAATAACGATGGGTTTTGAACCTTCTGCTAAGCAGAAAAGCACTATGGTGGAGTGAGATCTTTTGTGGCCTGTTGTTTTTATGTGAACCGATTTAGTTTCTTTCACATCAATAGTTTTAGTTCCTATCGTATCAAACATCACTGCAGTTTCATTCATATTTCCAATATGTGACTATAAATACTTTTTTTTGTCTTCATAGGTCAATAACATGCTTCTGGAAACTAATCAGTTTGTTATCAAAATCTTTCGGAAGCCTTTGCAGAACTTTTATTTTTCTCATAGAACTAAGTTCTTCCATGTCATAAATCTGTTACACCAACTCAGAGTTGCTTTAAAGTTTCACTTTCATGTGTATTCCTTTTGGCCCACTTTAAGGCAAATAAATGTATACTGTTCCTTGTTACATATAATCCATTCTGGTGCTTTTCTAGGACCCACTTCGTAACACTTTTTTGTAGAAAAGGCCATTTTGTTATTACTTCTTTACGCAAAGCACATTTATTCTTTGGCAAATTAATTATTATTCCACTCATGTGTGGAGCTTTCACCAACACCCAAACATCTTTGCTGCAGCACAATTTCCATTTTCTTTCACAAAATGAATGGCTTTGTATTTGAAACAAGCACTGTGTTTGTTTCTTTTTTCCAGAGCCATGTTTATTACTAAAAGGGACACTAGATCAACTGTACTTCAACTAAAATAAATGCGATTTACTAAAGCCTTTGATTTTCACTTCAAAATCATGGCTTTGAATGACTACAGAAAGAAAAAACATCTAACTCCTAATTCCACAAATTCATTCATGTTGAAAGTGCATTCTTACTCCAAATTATATTCCACCTTTTTTTGGAAACCCTGCAATAGCATTCTTTTGGACCTTTGCCATTGTATACAATTGTACTCTTTGCAGAAATATCTATTCTCTCAAACATTTAACCCACTCACATATTGTTCCCCTTATCGCTTGTCAATTTAGTATACCATTGTTCGAAAGGCTAGGACGAAACCTTCGAATAAGTGACATAAATAATAAAAGCATTGCACGTGTATCTTTTAGCTTTCTTCATGAAGAATTGGCTGCACATTATACAGTGAATATACCTAAAATTTAAAAAATATAGCTTGAAATTAAAGATGCATATTATAACCGGGAAAATATATGCTCAAGCTACCGTATGGTGACAGCTTTTTGGTGCTGAAAGCAAAAAGTAATAAATAATGGTTCACTATATTGGCATCAGAGATATAAATTATTCGATGTTAATTAATGACATTTCGGTTTGAGATGTATGGCAAGCAAAAAGGGCAGGACAAATTATTGATCATATAGGCTAATAAATGATTGTTTCTTCAATATGGTGGTATTTTGTCCAATGCTGAGGAATTCAGGTGAAGACTCATTCCTAGATTTTGACTTTTAAAGGTTAAGCATATGATGACATCCTTAAATCTTTATGACAAAATAACTGGAATTAGCATAAAGCATAGTTTTTATTTGATCTATCGAGATTAAAGTTGGAGCAAATCGGCAAAATTTTCACATTTATAATATTTGATATGATGCCTCAAAACCTAAAAATATAGTTCCAAATTTTCATAACACTAGAACATTTTCTTTTAATAGTTGGTGATACTAAAAGAAGCTACATAGACCTGTGTTTCAGATTAACTTTTTTAAGAGAAAATTTTTTTTTGTTCCCAAAGTGCGTCAAACCCACTGACTAACAACTCATTTCTAGTCGTTAAAAGAGAATAACTTGCTAATTGGTATAAGAAGTGCTAGTACAGTAGCAGTAAATTTCATTTTAATTAATCTTGAAAGCAAAATAAAAAGAACAAAAGTCTTCAGATAAGGGAAAAAAAAAAAAAAAAGCATTCAAGGCTAAAAAAACAGGCTATTAGTTGATAAAGAATGAGTTAGTGATTCACCAGTTGGAAGTGTCAAATTACTATGGAACTTTAAGTTCTGTAATTCTTTTAATTATGGGATGGAAAATATGAGGTACAATTCATTTCCATCAATCAAGTGATTTTTTGGGGGGGAAAAACATTTTTACATAGTATTTTGTGTAGACATAATAATGAATTTCACCCTCTTATTTTAGACAAAAATAATTTCACTTTCGAAATACCAAAGAAATAATATATAGATCATGTGTTGCATAAAATTCATTTTCTAAAATAGTTATTAATAGTAGTATAATGTTAGAAATTCTATCTTACATATACTGAGATATGTGAAATGCTTAGCTCATATAAAGAAAGTCAAAATGTTTATTGAAATCTTTGTTAATCATTGTCATTATTACTACATTCTAAGCAGATAATTGTCTTAAATTTTTCTTGACATTGTTTTAGATATAATGTTGTCGGACAAATGAAATTTTGCTTAACATTGATTGGAGGGTACTTGTTTTTCACTGAACCAATCTTGCCTATTCAGTTTTTTGGCATATTAACTACTATGTTTGGTGTGTCACTGTATGCTTATTTTAAGGTATGTAGTCACATAAAAAAATGTTGTTAAAATATTCTTTACTTTATAATGAAATGTACAAGCTAATTTTTTATAGTTTATATAATAATTTTATACTAACAAAAAATATTTTTAGATTTCTAAAAAGCATAGCAGCAAACTATGTTTATAAATATAGTTTATTGCATTTACGCCATTCAAATTAAATAAATGGTGTGAAGAGTGTACAGAAAATTTATCTTATAAATGAATCATTTTAAGCATTATATGCAATGTGTATCTTTCACTGTAGTTTTTGCATAACAATATATATACTTTCTCACAATCAAAAGATGTGAATACTGTTATAACTAATTTCAGATACCTGTCTGTAATATGAAATTCTGTTGATCTGATCAACAATCTACCTGTGAAATATTCTTCCAAGTTCATGTAACACTGTCCCGATTTTCTCAACCAAAAAAAAAAAAAAAGAAAAGAAAAGAAAGAGGCTAAGTTCTACTTTTATGCACATGTTTTAAAATCAGTTTTTCAAAATGCATAATTTTACTGTTTCTTGAAAGAAAATATTTTCTACAAACAAAAAGTTCATAGGTTATGATATGCATACTTTTAAAAATTACTTTCCCATGATATTTAAGAAAATATTCTGCTGTTTGGAGTTTAGCCTCTGAATAGAGAGCTTTCTCTGTTTGCATTGTGATTTTTCTAATGGAAGTTTTAAATTACATTTGCTCTGTGAATATTCTATCAAAACTGCAAATAATTTTCAAGATATAATCAATTTTTTTTTGTCTTCTCAAAGTGTTAATATTTTGTCATAACACTTTTATAGACACAGTAGCACTTTTAATTAGAAAAACTCAACTGAATTTGTGTGCAAATTCATGATTTCTTTTGTGCAGAATTTAAAAATTTTCATATTATCCCTTTCAAAAAAAGAGGGACAGGCAAAATATCTTAAAATTGTGTCTTATATTCAAATTAGTAAACTTATGTTCTTTGTGAAAGCTACTTAATACGTGTTATTTTCTAATATAATAATTATATTCATTTTAAAGAGAAAGTATTAGCACAAAAATGAAGCAACTTAAACAACTTACATTGAAAGAAATGCTTAATAAGGTAAACAAATAAATATTAAGCTTTTTCTTTGTAAATTTTGATATCCTTTAGATCATAAATACTTCATTGTTTCATAAATCACGATTTCGTATTTTTTAATTTTTATAATTTCTACATGCCATTTTTACTAGATTTAAATTGATGATCTAATATCTGAAATCGCTGAAAACCCGACGAGTCCGAATTTTGGACTTTGTACTGTATTTCTCTTCGAAAAGTGCAAAAACATATCGTTAAATCCACAGCTTGTTTACACATGACATTTTGAAAGTAATATATATTGAAAAGTAGTATATGATATTTCTCATTTCAAATAATAAGCTGTTGCCAAACATTTTTATTTCAAAACATTTGCTTTCTTTTTAACTCTTTATCAAAATGTTTCTAAATATTTGTAAACACCCTTTGTATGGGTGATTTGAGGCCTAAGGAGTAACAGAGACAACACTAAGAACAGGCAAGATTTAAGTAACAGGAAAGTAGGAATGTAAAAGTAGGAATTATATTATGAAATATAATAATGCTAATATTATTATATATTATTAGAATGTAAATTTTTTTAAAAAAGATATAATATTGTGCAGAAATATTTTTAACGCCTCTGAGAGCGTATTTCACGCATTGAAAATCGGAAATACGCTTTAAAAAATTAGCCAGGTGTATTTTCACCTATTGAATTTTTAACAAAGGTTTAGCTTAAAAAGTGCATAGCGCCCCACCGAAATCAACAAATAGTATTTTTTTCTACTCAAAACACCACCGAGACATTTTCGCCTGACTTCTCCGCGACAAAGAATATAGTCGTTGCACTGCGTGGCGCTGTGCTGACTCGGTGATCACGGCCAGAGGGCAGAAGAAAGAAGCTGACTTATGAAATTGAAGTTTCATTGTATATTTACAAGCACTGATTTTATCATGCATTCCATGTTACTGGGTGGTCGTTCGAATAGTAGGATTGGTTATCAACAAATGTAGATTCTTTGCCACGTTGCCATTCCCAAACCACGTGGCAAAGAATCTCTAAGGAGATTCTTTGACATTTGGTTTGGGAGTTCAGTGAAATTTCACATTACGAGCTGGAATAATTTTTTCTAGCATGATTTCTAGTATGCCTTTAAATTTTTTTTTTATGCTTATAGTTTTTACATTTTTAATTCTTTCATTATTCTGCGCTAGTCAGGAAAAAGTTGAAATTTTAACGAGAACTATCAGTACAAAAATAAAATTCCAATCTCATTTTTTAAAAAAATCATGATCTTCACTAGTCTTACAGTGCAAATCTGGATGTTTTATTGCTATCTTTTCATTAAAAAATACCCAATTTGGAGTTTCAGGAGCCGAGAGGGAATCGAAAGGAGGATGTACTGCTGACTAACCTACGAATTGATCACTGCAGGCTGACACATCAGTATCTCTTGAGAAGAGATAATGAGCCTATTTGTGGCACTTGCAACATTCCCATTTCAAGTCAATCACATTTTAACCCGCTCTCCTACTTTTAGTCAAAAATGTGATTATCATTTTAACTCAACAAATGAACTTAACAGACCTCATTGGAAGAAACCCTCACATCAACCTCATAAGATTTTTAAAAGACATCTCTTTTTACCATATGATTTGAAGTTATTTTCCTTTTATCCTGCTCTACCTGTTGCTAGAGCATTTCTCAAAGTCATTTTCTCCATGCCTTCATCAGCATTTCAGGTTCATTCATCAATTCATTTGATACAGCTTCTTTGTGCATTTTATTCACCATTTGTCTGGTGCATAATAACCCTTGAGGTTTTGTGCCATTAAAAATCAACCAACCAACCAGACTATTCAGAGAATTTTGAAGTGACCTGAAGAGAAGGAAATTTGGGTGAGCAAGGTCTGGTGAAGTTTGAGGTGACACAAAACATCACAGTAAGTCTTTGTTTGACATAATGAGTAAGTCTTTGTTTGACATTCACCGAAATGCAGGGCCGAACATTGTCATAATGGAAGACAGCACCTCAATGATTGGTCTTTTGAGTTCTTTTGAATTCTGAGTGCTTTGCTTCAACTTCTGGTCTTAAAATTGCCATTTAAGAACAGTATTTGTCTGATATGGTGGCAGTAATTCATAGTATACAGTTCCTTTGTAATCCCACCATACACAAAGCATTACTTTTTGGAAATGCAGCTTACCCTACATCATAGCAGTTTACATACCTAGTTTTCTGCAAACAATCATAAACTGTACTTTTTGGAATATTTAATCTTAGTTTCTGAACTGTATAACTGCAATCTTCAGCAACAGTATTTTTTTTTTTTTTTTTTTTTTTTAAATAAGTTTTTGCATACAGAGGATACTGTCCAGAGTAAGCATAATGTTCGAAGCTGAAATTTTCGTCTTTAAACTTCTCAAACTACCTTTGAAATGTGTCATCATAAACAGCACTTTGTCCATATACAGCACATATTTTGAGAATGTTTGACAAGCATTTTTTTCCTTTTTAATAAACAAGCATAACCTGACAAAAATGAAATTTTGGGTTCTGTATTCTTAACACTGCACTGAAACAAAAGTTATTCCACAGCACGTGCTGGAATTACACAATGGGAGCAGAAAAGGGCATACTAAACATTCACCTAAATTAAGGTCACTCCATATCAGTAGTAATTAGAAGAAAACTGAAGAACTTTCCAGATGATGATTTAGAGGCTGTTTATACATCTTTAGAATGATTTTCGAATAAAAATTTTGGGGAACAGCTTATTATTTGAAATAAGTTATTCTGCTACTTTTAAATTTATTCTTCTTTCAAAATATTGCATGTAACCAATTTTAAAATTAAAAAACATTGTAAAATGCATGGTATTAAAATTTCTAAGTGGAAAAAAAAGTTATTAATAAGTTAAAAACTGTCAGTCATTACTTCAACATGGAAAGAAGATTCAAAAAAAAAAAAAAACTGGTACATACTGTTTCTAAAATTAAATCGTTGGTAGCAAGAAAAAAATCCATCGATGAAAGGATGAATTGCAGAGTCTGTAAATAAATCTACAGCAACAATAAATAAATAAAGATTTACAACTTAAAAAAGGTAAATAGCTCAACACAGAACAATTTCCAGAATCCCGTATAAAAACTATTTAGCAGGAGAAAAATGGAAAATACATTATGATAAAGCATGGGTTTACCTCAATGATGATTGCAACAAAAACAGGTCTATTTACTATCAAAGATGAAGAGAAAAAATTCTTATGTGTACACCACATGAGTTCACTGTATGGAATATTAAATTATATGCACTTTTTCCTGCATTTTATTTAAATGTATTTCCTGAAATTTCATTAAACTTATATTTCTCTTTTAATTAATTCAGTTCTCACTTCGCAGCAAGGCAAAAATGCATAAAAATCAAAATATCTTCATTAAAAATTGAAAGATATAGAGAGACATAAAGCACTGAATACAGTAAAAATTTTTTTTTTTTTTTTTCCAATTAAAATTACAGTTTCTATGCAAAAACAAGCAATTTGGCCATCAGGTAAGAAGGCAGATTTTTCGGTGCACAAAACTAAGTTTCGTTTTGGTCCCACTCAGCAAAACGACACTGAAGGTGCAGAAACTGACTTAATTTACTTTTCTGCTAAGTTTCAAATCTAAACAAAAAATGGCTGCTATGGTAAAATAAATTAGGCTTAGCCGCACATAAACATTTTTTGAATTGTGATAATTCTACAATTATTGCGTGCAGATTAGCTAAAGGCATAAAAATCTTAACCGGAAGATAAGAACATAATTCAATGATTTTTGAAGCAAAAAATGCACAAATTACCAACATATAAGAATAAAAAAAAAAAAAAAAGAGCTCAATAAACCAAGTAACAGAGTGGGATATATATATATATATATATATATATATGTCATATCTTATGATAGCTACTTTAAAAAATAATTGGCGATCTCAAAATTAACATTCTAGATTTGATTATTTCTATTATAATAAATTCATCTCTTCTCCCAAATTCGAGATTTTTCTGTTATGAAACACTACAGATAAGGGCAACCAAAACTAATATTAACCAATCATAACTTGTCTCTATAATCACATTTACTCTGGTATAAATACCTCTGACAGCTAATTACGTTATTCTTTTCCTAGCTACTGTAACTGCTAAAATATCCCCGTTGCTGTGCTTCTCCGTCTAAAATGCTGCGTCATTATTTTAAGAACCCAATATATTTCATTATGATTGAAATAGAACCTCAGATTAGAAATGTCTCAGGTTTCATTATGATTGGATAAAATATCTACTGAGATGATTTTATATGCATGGAAATAAAGGCTGGAATTTCGTTAAGTTCATGTTTTATTATCTTCATCTGTAAGCCTTCACCCTCAGCCACGACAACTGCAAGCTGATTCCTCCTCTGTGCTTTCGGAATTATTATATTATATATATATACCTACACTTTTGGTGTGGCCAACTGCAATCAAAAAGGGAGGTGCACAACTACATTTTATAGCAGTCCTATATAGAAAATTTCAATGTTCTGAGGCTACTTGATTTTGACTTATGCGAGATACATACATACCTACGTACATACAGACGTCACAAACAACTCTCTTCTGATTCTATTTTAAATCTGTTCGACAACTCGTTTTGGGAAAAAAAGGCCTTTATTCTGTCCTTACATAGGTATGTCATGCAAAAACGTCATTAAATTGTATTCGATAATGGTCAAAATGGATATTTTCGTTGAAATATGAAAGCTGGAAGTTTTCGTGATTACAATGCTTCCTTTACTTCATACAAGGAAGTCAAAATGAGAAAACCTGGTTCCATCAGTTCACAATGATGGGTTTATGATTGTCACAAGATACTTTTGCAATAGGAAATAAAAATTAAGAAGAATGAAAATAATGTTAAAATCAACTCAATGTACTATCAAGAGAAAGTTTTATGCCTGATATTAATGAAAGATATTCCATTTCCTAATCACATTCACTGTTTTAAACTTCATCAAAACAAAATAACTAGCCATACTTCGAAAAGTACCTCTGCATTCCTTGAAAAAAAATGACTGACACAGGTATTACATCTATACCTTTTCAAGGTATCCTTGCAAGTCCCCTGACATTTCATCTGTGACCTATTGTACATTTGGTCTCTTGAAAAAAGCTCTGTTTAAGCACAAAGCCATCATGACTGATGAACTCTGGAAAGTAGTGGAAGTGGAATGGTAATGAATACCCCTGAAAATTTTAGGTAATGCCCTTCTGCTATGAAAATCACATTGCTGACTTATAATTCAGAAAAAATGCTATCAGATCAAATATGAAAGAAATACTTTTTACATTATAAATGTCAATTAAACGACTCCAAAAAATATGTAAATGTGTGATGTCGTTCTAACACATTTACACTTAAAAAAATGTTTCCACATTTTAAGATCTGTAACTCTGTAACTATTTCCCTCTGCAATCAGTAAAAATTTCTTTTTTTTTTAATTAATATTTTTATAGATTTAAATTTGGTATATTTTTAAGATTTGTTCATAAGTCATGTCAATATTATTAATATTTTTATGATTTGAGTAGTTTCTAACAAATAAGGACTGCTGTATATTTAATTTTGTTTATTTATTTGTATTTCTAGACTCAAGATCAAAAATTATACACTGCACTACCATATACACATAAGTGAAACTGCATATGCCAAAGAAATTGAAAATATTTTTGTATATTTTATACTAGTCTTCATGTTTCTACCAATTTAAAATTGGTACTTTTGTACTCACCGATTTTACAATAAAATTTATATTATATTTTTGTATTAATTTTAATAAACCGCTTTGATATAGAAGATTTTGTTATTGTATTATGTATTTATTATTTCTTTCAATTACCTTTGTTACCTGAAAAAAATCGTAATTCACTGATTAAAGAACTGGCCAGCTGTATGAAGTTTTCGTTATTTTTTGTCATGGGTAATGAAAATACAGGCTACTTTCTCTTATGAAAATACAGGCTACTTTCTCCATGAAAACATCTACATGGTCAGATAACTCGAACATGCTTTGATAATCAGATAAAAGTAATCCTGCAGTTTTAATATCTGTTGTGTAGCACTTTTTTTCACTTAATAATTTTGTTGCATAGAGAAACTAAGTTTCCCTTTAGATTATAAATATAACAGAATCCTGTCAGTAACTTTTTGCAAGACCAGTTTAGGAACTTCTTAAGTGGAAGGCATAGTAACAAAAAAGCGTATTTAGAATAGAAATAATTAGTGAAGAATTTAAAAATAACTAAGAGCATATAACTTCAAAAGATGTAAAAATACAATTATTATAATGAATTGTAATAATTTTAATATTAAGTAAGTTTATGTTTTCGATTTTGTTACAACTACTCATTATATACTGCAAGCCATTAAAATTGCTACACCATGAAGGAAGTAGACAACAAACTTAAAATTTGCATGAAAGAACACGCTTGGATGGAACATGCAAATGTTTATCACTTTATTATCTTCACGTAACAAACAAAGTAATGACACCTCATTATGCTCAAAGCAGTACAAAAAGACAAACTGAAATGCTGATTTCTCATTTGGAAATTGTGCTATACCTGATGCAAAAATAAACTTAACCAGCATATTTTAAAATTTGATCATGAGAGAATTGCAAATTATTGTACTGCATAATGGCTGTTCATGCTTCTTGAGAGTCCATGACTTATGAGAACTTTACATCAGTGGATGTAGGAGGATCACACAGGCATCCACTCACAGGAGGACAATTTCACTGGCACCTTTTTACTGTACACGAGATATCATACAGCTTGTTTGCATCACTGTTAGAGAGCATACAGCCACATCATATATCCTTAGAAAAGTGGGTGTGTTGCATTGCATCCAGTATCTGACGAGCCAAAACATTATGGCCATTCTCACATTTTTCAAAGAACTCTTCAGAATGATGTGGAAGGCAGTGATTGAGAATAGTATTTAACTGCTGCTGGAGAAGGTAAGGAATCATTCTTGCACTTACTTTTGTGAGTGGTAAGAGTGGCTGCTGATGTAAGCGAATTTGATAGAGAGCAGATTGTAATGGCTCGAAGAATCGAAACGAGTATCTCCAAAACTGCACGGCTAATAGGTTTTTCACAATCTACTGTTGTTAGTATTTATGCAAAGTGGATAAATGGTGGTGAAATTAGCAGTAGATGCCAAGGTGTCATGAAAGATGACGTTGGAGACTTTCCCGCTTGATATAACAAATCGGCGCCAGACAGAGCCTCAGCCAATAGCCCAGTACAATGCAGCTCCAAATGCAAGTGTTTTGAAACACACATTTCAGCGGACACTGTTGGATATGGAACTGCTCAGCAGACTCGTGTGTGTGTCTCTGTTTACCAAGAATCATTGTCAATTAAGCCTACAGTGGGCCGTGAACATCGAGACTGGACCATGGGTGAGTGGAAGACAGTTGCCAGGTCAGATGAAACGCGATTTATCATTCATCACGTCGATGGTCGTGTCAGGGTGTTCCGTCTTCCAGGCGAACAGTTGCTCCCCTCTCCCCGTACAGCAGGTCATACACAGCCTGGTGGTGGAGGCTATGGGACCCTTAGTTGTGGTAGAACAGACCAGGAAAGCTGTGGACTATCTGAGCATAACTGCAGGTCAGCTGCACCCTTACATGACATCTGTTTTTCCAACTAGAATTGGAATCTTTCAGCAGAAGAACGCCCCATGTCACAAGGCTCGAATCCTGTTGGAGCGGTTCGAGGAGCATAAGGATGAATTCCAAATGATGTCCTAGCCACCAGACTCGACTTATCTTAACCCAGTAGAGCACATTTGGAATGTCATGGAATGGCAGCTCAGAGCTCAAACACCACCATGTAGAAATATTTCGACTTTGCGTGACCACTTCTTAGACATTTGGTAATGTCTCCAGTCATCTACCAAGGACTTGTGGCATCCATGCCAAGGCGAACTGCAGCTGTTTTGCAGGTCAAAGGTCACGTAGGTGGTTATAATGTTTTGGCTGTTCTGTGTATAATACAGCTGTGCCTGCAGTGCCACAGATTATTAGCAAGACAACCAGTGCTTTGACTTCTCTTAATGCTTGGTATCAGGGCATGCATCTCTAGATGTACAGGAATCAGTGCATACAATTGTATGTTCAGTCACACATATGTGTTAACTTCCTTTTGTAGTTAAATTAATTATAAAATGGTTGTAAAAGGCAAACATTTATTTAAAGATAAATCTTAATAACCTACACGTAACGTATTCGTAAACGTACATAACATAACAAATGTACTTACTGCATCGTACCATTAAACATTTCAAGCGTACATCATCTGAATATCTTTTTTAAAATTATAAAATAGAAGGATATCCAGAAATTAGCTGTTGCCATTTTCTCAATAGATATTTTGTCTAATAACAATTAAATAATTTACAATCTTGCTTACACATGTGTATGTCATTGATCTAACATTCTCTTTTCTAAAGAATACTGCTTTTACTTAATGTTATAACCTGTTATTAACCTATGCCGGATCTTTCATAAATTGAAAACGTCTGGTCAATGATTACAAAGAGACTGGCATGACAATACACAACAGTCAATGTAACAAACTCTGGATTATAATGGAAGGTGCATGGATTAACATCCAAAATCTGCCTACAGTTGTACAACAGCTGCTTTTGTTGCCAGAGGCAAATTCTCAAGATACTAATTTATGCATGTTATGTACCTCAATTGGGACTTGAAATTGTAATCATTTCATTTTTTCGTTATAATGCATTCTTAAATAAAAATTATTTTGGTAAATGCTTTATTTCGTGGTATATATCGATTTTAATGGCTAGCAGTATAGAAAGAGCGTCTTTAACATAAAGTATAGACTCAGCACTGTTCGATGAAATTTCTGTGATATACAGCTTGGTAGTCGTCGGCTCAGGCAAACTCGAAATGTTCGCGTTTAATCGCTAACCCAGTGTAAGTGATTGATGATTTTCTATTCTTTGAATGTTTCGAATAAGTAGGAGAACAAAAATATCAGAATAAAAGTCCACGCGTAAAGAGTCTATAGCATGGGAGAACACTATGAAATGAGTCCGAGAGACACAACGCTTGCAGTGCATGGCGAAGGTGAGTGTGCAGTCGAGGCAGGAAGCAATTACTAGCAGTAAAATAGCAATTATAGCAGTGAAAAGAAATGCCATATTACAACTAAAGCAGTCCTGATACACTCAGTACGTCAAAAAATAGTGGGTATATATACAACATATTTACATAATATTTATAATACAAATTATTTACAACTAAGAACAGACATAAGAAAAACAATACACTAAAGGATGGTACATAAGGAATAATGACACATTCAGGACTAAAGCGGCGTTCACACTGGTCCGTTGGGGCGTCAAAGCGTAAAAAAACGCTTTCCACGTACATGAGTTCACACCAGCGCGGCAACTTTCGCTTTAAAAGTTGTCATATGCTCGCAATAGATGGCGCTTCATATCGGAAACTTTGGGGAAAATGTGAAATTTTTGTGAGGTATTTTGACTTTTTACGATTACATTTTGTAATTAAAATGGATTTAATTTCTGCTCGATTAAAACTTATTTTACTTCTTGCTTTGTGTAAGAGAACCAGAATGAAGTGGTTTATATTAATACTAAAAAGCCCGGCGGTCATACGAAATGACCGCTGTTCTAGATATTATAAATTGTAATTAAAATTATTTGTGCAAAGGTGTCTGCTAATTCAAACTGAATTACCCAGTGCAGGCGGCGAGGACGCCCCTTTGCCCCACGGGGTTTCCCCCTTCTACTTGTTTAATTGCTTAAAGTAGAGTGCAATGAAGGGACCACTGGCGGTACAATTCTTCAGAGCCACCGCTAGCTCAATAAATACAGGTGATTTAAATAATGAAATGTTAATTCACATGTCAAAGATCTCTTCATACACAACATTTCTTGTGTAGATCCTTTCCCTCATTTTTAAGTTCGCCTTGCAGAGCACCATCCATTATTTTTAATTTTATGTTCGTTCTTTCACGACTCTTGAACAGGCAATATAATGTTGACCTGTGTCCAAATGCAGGCTCAGGCAAAAAAAAAATGCCAACACGCTTAAGCGTTTGGCCCTTGCAGCATCCCACGCTTTAGCGTTTGGCCCTGAGACTTATTGGTGGTCATAGCAAAGGCAAGTTATCAGGAAATTGTCTACGTCTCAATTAAAACGGCAACCCTGTGCCGTGGCAACTTCACCCCATTGGCTAGTACTGTTATGCAAGCAATCAAAAAACTATCGGCGACAAAAAGACACTTAAGCCGCATATAATAAAGGTATTTATTTATTTCATTTTATTTGTTTTTTTATCGTTGCCGGTTGCATATTTCCGAATTCTATTATATATAGATGTTAAATTTATTTATTAAATGTTAAATGCACGTGCTCTTGTATTTTTAATTTTTCCGTCTTAGCTTTCTCATAATATTCGTCACGCGCTGCACTGCACGGGGAATAAAACAATTTACAGTTATGCAAGCAACCAATAAACTATCGGCGACAAACACTTAAGCCGCATATTATATAAGAAGATGTGAGAGATGAGATGGAAATAATTTAATTGAAGAAATGCATTTGAAAAAAAAAAAAAAAACGAAATTTCTTTTAATTACTTTCGCATGACACCTCATCAATTCAATGAACTTCTAGCGCTCATTGAACTATTTATTCAAAAGCAGAACACTAATCATGTGGTAGAATACCATAAATGTTCTCGCATGATGTATGAACTTCTCTTAAATGCTTCATTAAATAAACTTCTCTTAA